GGGGTTAACTTTCACAGTTATGCTGATGATACACAGTTGTACATCTCCGTGTCTCCGGATGACTCTCGGTCAATGGATGCACTTTTTAACTGTATTTTAGACATTGAATCCTGGATGGCAGAGAACTTTCTCCAGCTCAACCAGGACAAAACTGAAGTTTTAGTCATTGGTCCTGAGGCCCAGAGAGAGAAGCTTTTACCGAAATTACAATCTCTGTCTTTTAATCCATCTGAACAAGTGAAGAACCATAAAAAAAATCACAAAAATAGGTTTTTATCATCTAAAGAACATCGCCAGAGTCCACCCCATTCTCTCTCGGGCCAATACGGAGATGCTGTTGCATGCTTTTATCACCAGTAGGATAGACTACTGCAATGCCCTGCTTTCTGGTCTTCCCAAAAAGAGCATCTCAGGCTTACAAATTCTACAAAATTCGGCAGCACGTGTCCTGATGAAGACCAGGAGGCGGGAGCACGACACCAGTTTTAGAATCATTGCATTGGCTCCCCGTATGTTTCAGGATCAATTTTAAGGTTCTTCTAATGGTTTTTAAGTGTCTTAACGGTCTTGGGCCTTCTTATCTATCAGAACTGCTTTTACAATATGAACCCTTGCGGCCTCTGCGCTCCTCTGGCAGGCGTCTCCTGGTCATCCCTAAAGTCAGGACACAAACTCACGGCGAGGCGTCCTTCCAGTGTTATGGCCCTCGCCTCTGGAACGAGCTGCCAGAGGACCTCAGGGCCGCAGAGAACGTTCATGTTTTTAAGTCAAGACTCAAGACCCATCTTTTTAGGTTAGCTTTTATCTAAATATTTTCTACAGTTTTATTTCTCGTTTTACATGATTATATTTTATTACTTGCTTTGCATGTTCTATATGATTATATTTTAGCAGTTTTATTATTTAAATTATTATTTTACTGTCTATATCATTTTATTTATTACTTATTTTCTAATTTTTGTCATTTATATTAGCTCTTTTACTACATTTTTACTCATTTTAATCCAGTGTTTCCTCTGTAGGGGCCCTCTGCCCCGGGAGCGGTGGTCGACTGTAGCTTCCTGGGCTGTCTATAGGTGGGGGTCTATGCTCCCCCTCCACTGAGCGCCCTGACTTAGTGTGGAAGACCTGATGCTGCCGGGACAGACGGCTCCTCTGATGGCGTTTCCTTGCGTTACCATACTTGGCTCATCTGGACTCAGCCTAATATAATTTTTACTTGTGTGTGTGTGCGCGTGTGTGTGTGTGTGTGTGTGTGCGTGTGCTTGCATATGTCTGTTAATGTTTTTAACCTTTTATGGGAATCTGGGGTCATTTTGTAAAGCACTTTGAATCACACTTTGTTTGAAAAGCGCTTTATAAATAAATTTGATTGATTGATTGATTGATTGATATAAGACATAGGACATCCAGGTAAGGTTGGGCCCTCCCCCTCCTGGACATCCCCCTCCCCTGTGATGGGACAGCAGAGGAGCCAAGGTCTACATGTGGCCCCTGAGCCCGGGCCAGGCACTGCAGCATGTTCCCAGCAGCATACATGTCAGGACCCGACCCCCAAGGCCCCGCTCAGATCCCCACATGGGGCTGGCCACCCCCCACACCCCGAGCCCCCTGTAAACAGTAATTTTTACTTATACTATGGTGTAGGGTTGGATGCATGCTGTAGAGCTCCACGCTGCCCCCTACAGTTTGGGAGAATATTGGCTCACCGCAGAGACAAGCCGCACGAACCATAAACGCTGCGAGTTGTGAAGCGCGTTCCATCCGCGAGCCTCATCACCAAGCGGAAAGTAAATGCGTCAAGCATAAATCAAGCTTTAAGTTCTTGCACTCCAGCTTGCGTGCCGTGGATGTGTGCAGTTACCCAGATGTAAACAATAACTTTCAATGGGTCTGTACAATATTTAACACAGAACATGTGCCAGGGTGCAAACATATCAAATAAATGCAAATAATTTATACGGAGTGCAAATATGAAATGTTTTTACAACCTTTTTGTTAAGAGATCCATCAGCCAGTTTTATAGGGATAAGGACTGAGTGGTAAGTTTGGTAAAAATAGCAGTTTTTACACAACATGTCGGACTTTTTATTGTGTTGTTATTGACGTCTGTTGTCCCTCGGGATTGCTGCAGGACACAGGTGTTTATGAGTGGTGGAGGAAAACGAAAGAAAGTAAATGTTTTGTGATCAGTATAATTTGACATAACCACGGCAAACATGTTTTCTCAACAATCCTTATTTTTGTGTGAGAAAAAAGTGTAGAAATTAAAACGGAGGTGTGTTAATAGGGAAATAGCTGGCGAGCCATGTTTGCGCATGCACCGTGAGCGGTTCTGGTTCTGTATGGGCCGCAGCCGCTCGCAGTGCTACTTCAACAGTTACCCTCCTCGTTTTTGTCTGGCTTGCCAGGCTAGTAGATTCTTGCACGAGGGGAAAATCAGCTCAGGTTGTTTACTTATTTTTTGCACAGGTGTTTGTTTACTGTGAAGTAAAGTTGAAGTGCTGAACTTTTGAAAACTAATTTTGAATAAAACTTGAAGAATAACTGGCAATAGCTACCTCATTTTAAGAGGTCTTTCATATTTTATAACATGCTATTTGATATAATGGTTTACAAACAAAAAAGGGTAATTTATTAGAGTACTCGATTAATCAGTAAAATATTTGACAGAGTACTCGATAACAAAAATATTCAATACAGTAGCTGCAGCCCTAGATTTCATCGATTTTTAATCAATTTAACAAGTACAGCATCTGTGTAGCTAGTCTCTTCTTCTTAGTTGAATTAGCACACGTCACGCTTCCAGTGCATAGACATAAATAAAATCCTGGACAAAGAACCAACCATTTCCTTCTTGATGTTAAATGAAGCCAAGTGGGCGTACCCACCGCCGCCATCTTGGCCGTGTCATACGACTCGTCGCATCCAGACAATCCAAAACTGGGAAAAAAGGCGGAGCTAAGATGACACCCAAAAACTCTGAACCCATGTTGCTACCAGCTAACCCCTGATGCTAACACTGAGCTAAACAGTAGCTAAACACTGACTGTTAAAAATACAAGCGTAACCTCAGACCGCTGCAATCACAGCCGGGTGCCCGAGCCACATACGTGAGCTCATGCTCCACTTCTTCGCCACGATCGCAGATCAGCTAGAGATTTGCAACATGCTAACCCAAAGCTTCACGGAACTAGTAACCAACGGGGTTAGCTATGAACTACCGAAGCTAACGGGATTTCTGGGCACTTTTAGTGAGAGAAACGTGGTTGAGCCACTCATAAGTGAAACAGCATCAACTCAAACAGCTGCTCTACAAGCGGTCAGCACGACTACAGCCTCACATGGAAGCCAGGAGGCCACGCAACTCGGCTGCTTTGCGAGACGGTACCAGGCGGCCGCCTGCGTTTAGCAACTGTTCCAGGCCAGAAGACAGGAAAAGCAGGGCGCCCACTCACGGACACTTATGCTACCTGTCAATCAAATCTACTTATTCTTCATTTCAAGCATTTAAAGTGCATCTTTAATGTTCTTTAAAATGGTAAAAAAATACTAATCTAAGGTCAAAATGTTACTTAGATCCAGGTTTTCAGATAACTAGAAGGTGTTTAAAAATACTAAATCAAAGGAAGTGGGCAGGCTTCCCTTAAAAAGGCGTGGTTTTGGAGTCATGTGACTCATCGCGTATCTCAAGGAAAACTCAGAGGAAGACGTGCTCGACTCCAGTTATTTTAGTTGCTGAGGTAACACAGATTCAGCTAGCTCAACTATGGTTAATGTGTGTGTATGCTGGGGTTGTACAAACTCCTGTTTATCTGGACAATGTGTTCATCGATTTCCACAACAGAAAATTTAAATGAGAAGCACAGAGATCATATAAACGTCAGGGAACACATGAGCTGACTGGAGAGGGGAGGAGACTCCCCATATGCCTAAAGCAAGCCGTTTCTTAAAGGGACTTTACGGAGTTTTGAATTTTTATGCTAGCGATTGCCCCCTCTGGCCAAACGCATAATGGCAGCTTCAATAGTACGCTCGTGCACGAGGCACGCATGCTGTACGTGCACACTCCTTAACGAAAATAACAGCTGAGACGAAGCTCTGTGAAGCTGACGAGGGTCAGCTTCACAGAGCTCTGAGAGCTGACAGTCCCTTGTGTGTGTGTGTGGGGGGGGGAGACAGAGGGCAGGAGAACGCACAGCTAATTAATTAAATAATTTGGTTCTGTACCTTTCTCTTCAGCACAGCCGACAAAGGTTTATGATGGGTCAGTCCTCCTGCATGCTCAGATCATTCCCTTCCCTTGCTTGAAAAATTGTTCCAAAATGAAAGTTGAACCCACATCTTTTTTTTATCTGTGAATTCAATGCCGTTCGACGAGTCTCAAATAAAAATTTGGGCATCTTACTGTAAAAAAATATACCATTAATGTAAAAAAGAAACTCTAAAAAAACTGTTCTCACCCAGAATCGAACTAGATGAGCTAAACCACAACTGACGTTTTGGTATCTGTAATATTTATATCCTTGATGACAGCTAAAACAACGTTCAAAGAGCGGTTCAGAGCGAAAATGGCTATTTTGTTGCTAATTTGCAGGAAATAACTAGAAGAAAGTAGCTAAGGGTCCTCAGAAATGTAGCTAGGTTCATCACTAGGTGTTAGGAACAGCGACAAAGTCGCTGAGTTGGCACTACCTCACTCTCTGCTGCTAAAGCTACTGATAGCAAATGCTACGGGCTATGCCTGAACGTAAACACGCATGAAGCAGCCTGCTCGATCCGAGCAGCTCTCTTTTTCTGTGATTTTACAGAAAAACAGGCAATCACAGTAAAAATGCCAGGGCTCATTCTACAGTACCAGGGCATTGCAGGAGAATGTATGAAGAAGAAATGTATTATTTCTACACGTTTTGGCTGTCAAACTTCCATATAGTCCCTTTAAAGTCCCTTTTTGTGACGTCACAGTAAGGAAAGCCGTCATAGAACCCCACCCCCCTCACCTGTGGACCCCGGAGGAGCAGCAGCTCTGGTCTCAGCCTCAGGAAGCAGTGACAAAAGGAGCTGGTGTCTGTCTGGTTCTGGTCCATGGTGGTCTCTGTCCTCATCAGCAGGAGTCACAAGGGAGGTAACCGTCTCCTGCTTCAGTACAAGCTGCTCTTCATCCTGACTCATGCAGAGCTCCTCTTGTTCTAGAACCTGCAAAGGTTCTGACTCATCCTGCTCCACTTTCATCTGTGGAGGTTCTGGTCCCTCCTGTAAAGGTTCTGGTTGTTCCTGGTCCAAACTGGAGGTCCTCTCCTGGTTCCAGAGCTGCTGGTCAGTCAGAACCTCCTCATCCTTGCTGACATTATGCAGTGGGAGTTCTGGACAGACAAACAGACCAAACAAAAAGCTGATTCATGTGAAAATAAGGCAAGGCAGCTTTATTTATACAGCACATTTCAAACAAGGGCAAATCAATGTGCTTTACAGTTAGCATTAAAGGGCACAACAACAACAACAAACATGAGAACACAAATAAAAAATATAATTTAGAGTTAAAATGAAAAAAAAAAAGTGAAAATACAAAATAATTTGCTGGGTGAAATTTTACTGCTGGCGGGCCGGTTCTGGCTGACAGATGTGATTTGGGTCTTGGTTGTCTTATTTGTTGGAGTGCACATTTTGTATCTGTGTTCTGTTTATGTGGGCTTTACCTCAAAAGAACCTTGAAATCTCATCTCTAAACAAATCCTATTTCACAAACCAGGAAAATAAATAGACAGACAGATGGATAATGTACACTGAACAAAAATATAAACGCAACACCTTTGTTTTTGCTCCCATTTTTCATGAGATGGACTTAAAGATCTAAAAGTCATTCCAGATACACAATATTACCATTTCTCTCAAACATTGTTCACAAATCAATCTAAATGTGTAATAGTGAGCACTTCTGCTTTGCTGAGATAATCCAACCCACCTCACAGGTGTGCCACAGCAAGATGCTGATCTGACATCATGAGTAGTGCACAGGTGTACTTTATACTGCCCACAATAAAAGGCCACCCCGGAATGTGCAGTTTTTTGCTTTATTGGGGGTCTGAGGACTCAGAACCAGTCAGTATCTCGTGTGACCACCGTTTGCCTCATGCAGTGCAGCACATCTTATTCGCATAGAGTTTATCAGATTGTCAATTGTGGCCTGTGGAATGTTGGTCCACTCCTCTTCAATGGCTGTGTGAAGTTGTTGGATATTAGTGGGAACTGGTACACGCTGTCGTATACACCGGTCAAGCACATCCCAAACATGCTCAACGGGTGACATGTCCGGTGAGTTTGCTGGCCATGCAAGAACTGGGACATTTTCAGCTTCCAAGAATTGTGTACAGATCCTTGCAACATGGGGCCGTGCATTATCTTGCTGAAACACGAGGTGATGTTCATGGATGTCCGGCACAACAATGGTCCTCAGGATCTCATCACGGTATCTCTGTGCATTCAAAATGCCATCAATGAAATGCACCTGTGTTCTTCGTCCATAACAGATGCCTGCCCATGCCATAACCCCACCACCACCATGGGCCACTCGATCCACAACAAAAACATCAGCAAAGCGCTCACCCACACGACGCCACACATGCCCTCTGCCCTGAACAATGTAAACTGAGATTCATCCATGAAGAGAACACTTCTCCAACGTGCCAGAAGCCATCGAATGTGAGCATTTGCCCACTCAAGTCTGTTACGGCGACGAGCTGGAGCAAGGTCAAGACCCCGATGAGGACGACGAGTATGCAGTTGAACTTCCCTTAGACGGTTTCTGATAGTTTGTGCAGAGACTGTTTGGTTATGCAAACCAATTGTATCAGCAGCTGTCCGAGTGGCTGGTCTCAGACGATCTTGGAGGTGAACCTGCGGGCGGGCGGACGGACAGACAGATAGATAGAATATAATAATAGGCTATGTATATTTTAACTTACAATTAGATGTGTTATTTATGAACGATTAAATGCTTTGTGGAGTGAAATAACAGGAATGTCTGGGCCAAACCCATTCTATTTCATAGACACATCTTTGGCATTTATAACAAATGAAACCTTTTGAAAATCAGTTGAAAATTGAGCAAGTTAGAGTTATTTAAATAGTACATGCACCATACACCCCAATGTCAAGAAAGGGGGAAGCTGTCTGACGTAAGATGGCTGCCACGTTGCATCCCATTGGAGAACAGCGGGGATGAGTCATCTAGTGTTTATATACATATCTATGCCTTGGTCTGCCTGAGTGTTTGCGGCTCCCGGGTCAGGGGGTTTAAGACTTGTGGTGTCTGCCTGATCAATCCCGGTGGCTGTCTGGTGGCATCTGGGTCCCTGGGCTCTGCTGGGTCCCTGGCAAGGGGGTGGTCGCCCCTGGGTCCCGGGTCGTTAGGTTCCGGGATCGGCCGGCTGGGGGGTGGGAGGCTGCGGGCGGGCCTGTGGGCTTGCCGCTGATATCTCCCGGGACTCTGCCGGCTGCTGGTTGTGGCCCCCAGGGGCAATCCTCTGCGCCTCTCGAGGGGGGCAGGGGCTTTTCTGGTCACAGTCTCCTTTGGGTCCCTGTGCTCTGGGGCAGCTCCTGGATCTCTGGGACTTGGAGCTCCCTCCCTCTCCTACACATCTTTGGGGGGCGGAACTGTAGCCCCTCACACTCTCTATTGGACGCTCCTATAGAGAAACCTTACATATACAAGCACGTGTACGCACACAGGTGCTCACATGGTGCTCTCATAAGTCTGGTCTTGGGCATTTTCAACACACGTCTTAAGGCTGTGGTTGACACTTAATATACTGTGATTTATTATCGTGTGATTGTTCAGTAAAACAATGTTGTATTTATATTTCTTCATCAAGTTGATGCAGTGATAGCTTGCTACTGTTGTATTGTTGTGTGTCGTTTTTCTCTTTCTGCAGGTCTAGAAGCAGACTCTTGTTCATCATTGATTGTTTATTTTCGTTTGGGCATAGCAGTCTCTGGACGGAATTAACTGACGGACCATCAAAGTCTGAGGGGTCACGCCAAGGTCACACGTTTTCTGCTCCACAGGTACATTACAGTCATGTTTGTTTTTAAACTAGTGACTGGTGAAATTACATCTCTGCATTTGGCCCATCCCCGTGGGGAGCATGAGCTGCAGCTGTGGCCGGAACTATTTGGTGTTTTTTCCCCAGGTCTATTTTCTCCAGAAGACTGAACTTCTTGGTGATGAGACACAATCAGAGCCAACAGAGTTTTAATGACGTCTGGAAACGAACACAGAGCTGTTTACTGGCTGGAACCTGGATTTTTGTTAGTTTATGGATAAACTTACACAGACCTGATGACACGTTCAGCCTGATCTCTGATGTCACCCACAGACTGAATGATGAGATAACCACAATCATCTTTCCTTGTTTCGTAAAAGTAAAACATAAATCCACGTGCAGGGTTGTCGGAAACGCTGTTTCTGGCCGGTGCGCGCTCCCGACGTACTGGATACAAATTCTATTACCGGGGGAAACTACACTGGTACGACAGAGGCACTTACCTTTTTACATTTCAAGCACTGGTTTCATACCTATTCTGTGTAAGTTGATCTGTGGTTTCCACCTGATCTCCAGCAGTCTGCGCTGACGATCGATCTCTTCCTCGTAGCGGACGATGGTTTGTTCAAACTCGGAAAATATTTCTGCAGCAGCAGCAGTTAGCCGCTCTCTGATAAACTCTCTCAGAGACTGAGCTGAAGACATTGTTGCTGCAGAGCCTCAGACGTTCACCTCACACACCCACACAACAAGCTAACGCTGCTAACGAGCAACCAGCTAACGCTGCTAACAAACAACAAGCTAACGCTGCTAACGAGCAACAAGCTAACGCTGCTAACAATTTCCGGATTCTTCTTGCGTGGCAGCGAAACATGAGCGTCTCTCTTCCTTCTGTCTTTGAAGAACTCTGATGCTTTAATTTTGATAGGGTACTTCCTGTGTAAAAAGCTTCAGGCTGGAATCAGCTGATCCAGGTTTAGTAGAACATCAGCAGCTTGACTATTTGGGTTCTGGAGCGTTTTGATGGAACTTTTAAGAAGTTTGAATTAAATAACATCAAACAGCTTCATCAACTGAGATCAAACAACAAAGCATCCAGTCGGTCTCAGCTTCTTCTGATGATTATCTGGGAAATTTACCACAAGTTATGTGCTTTATTAGTCCCATTCTGAACACATAGGTGTTTTATTCTGTTCCAGCAGGTGGCGCTAGTGCACCTTTACGCTGGTCACCGACCACCAGAAGAAGCTGAAACCGGAAGCTGCTGGCAGAGCTAATAAAGTTTTTTAAAAAAAGCTTGTTGTTCTGGTGTGTGAGGAGAATATTGGCTGTGTCTAAATTCAGGGTCTGCATCCTTCGTCGGCCGGTTACGTCACAGCGCAGCGACTAGGCCTGTCCCAATTCGAAAACTCCTTAAAATGCTAATCCAGCCTTCTTTTCGCCTGTATGAAGGATGGGTCCGAGACAGGTGCGATTTGTGGCAGCGACAGCACGAGTGGCACTTCCGGTGGCACTCCCCGACACTTCCGGGTGGTGCCACGGCTTTTAGTGGCACCTGCCACGGCTGCCACAGACTGTAGTGACACCTGCCAGAGAAATGATAGGCTCTGCCAGCCTGGAGCAGCACCTCTGGCAGATCGGAGTGTCATCTCCTTGCCAGACAGAGCTGCCACTACTACAGATAACACAATAATTGCAGCACTTATTGCATCATCGGCCTCGTCGTGCCAACGTATTTTATTACTTTATTAACAAAACCAAAACAAACAAGGCTGTCACCGAAAATATTTGAAATATTTCGAGCGGTTTACAAATACATTTCCCAGTCACTCCATGCATATACAGTGTAATGCATCAGAAGTTAATGCATTTATTTTTTCCATCATTTTATTGCTCCCCCAGACGAACCCGTGGCAGCTCTAGTGGCAGATCCACTGACACTTCCGGGTTGAAGACCCGGTATCGGCTTTGGGTCACCGGCCTCCGGTACGGAGTCAGGCTGACCGGACTCAGTGGCACCTGTAAGCGCGCCACACATGTATGGAGAGAGGGACACCCACGCTCCTCGGCACTCTGCCGCCGTCCATCCTCCAGGACCATACTCGGATGCTCCTCTGTTTCGGCGGGGGGGGGGGGGGGGGGGGAGGGGGGGAGTTCAGGCACATGTGTCCTCAAGACACCGTCCAGGGTGCGTCTCTGCCTCTTAGCTGGCTCTGTCTGCCACCCTGGCTGGCTGTCTGGTCCACGCGTTCCTCCCTTTAAATAAAACCTGTCCTGCCTGCGTCTGTTCATTGGCAGTCCAGGCAACACTCTGCCACAGGTGAAGATGATTGGGGTGATTATAACACAAAATGAAACACAATGTTGCACCAAACAAACTAAAAACACGCCATCAATAAAAACATGCACATCAGAATAAATACAAGTAAAACATGCAATATACAATATAACATAAGTGCAACATTACCACTCTGTGACATGATGCTGTGCCACCTCTCAATGGAAACAAGGATGCAGCACAGCATTCACATCTTAGTGCCCACAAATTGTGGCTTACAGGGCAGGGAATGGTGGCTCATGGGCCAGAAGCAACACTGATCTGTGTTAAAGGACTATTACCAGACATACAAAACTAATACCTCCCATGGAAAAACTACATGGTTACCTTTTAGTACTCTTGTATTTCCTTCTGTCCCATGTGAACTCTTATGTGTTTGTTTAAATTAAATTAGTCTTTTAGCTAATTCTTTGCTCACAGGCAAATGATTTCTGTCCTGTGTGAACCCTCACGTAACTGAATAAAGTCCTTCTATGGCAAAATTTTTGTCCACAGAACTAACAAGAAAATGGCTACTGTCCTGGGTGGACTCTCGTGTAAAAATTTGCTAAAAATATTTGTCTACAGTGCTCACAGGAAGAAGGTATTTATTCTGTGTGGACACTCATGTGACGGTTTAAATGTGACTTTTGGCTAAACCTTTGTCCACAGACCTCACAGGGAAAAGGCTTCTGTCCTGTGTGGACTCTTGTGTGACTGTTTAAATTTTCTTTTCGGCTAAATATTTGTCCACAGAACTCACAAGGAAAAGGCTTCTGTCCTGTATGAACTCTCATATGACGGTTTAAAGTTGTCTTTTGGCCAAATCTTTGTCCACAGAGCTCACAGGGAAAAGTTTTCAGTCCTGTGTGGATACTCATGTGATTATTTAAATGTGACTTTCGGCTAAAAACGCGTCCACACATCTGACAGCAAAAAGTTTTTTTCCCTGTGTGGACGCTCATGTGATTGTTTAAATGTGACTTTTGGCTAAATCTTTGTCCACAGAGCTCACAGGGAAAAGGCTTCTGTCCTGTGTGGACTCTCAAGTGAGTGTTTAAATTAGCCTTTTGGCTAAATCTTTGTCCACAGAGCTCACAAGGAAAAGGTTTCAGTCCTGTGTGGACTTTCATGTGACTATTTAAACATGTCTTTTGGCTAAAACTTCTACAGCGATCACAGGAAAAAGGTTTCTGTCCTGTGTGACTGTTTAAATCCGATTTTTTACCAAATCTTATGCCACAGTCGTTACAACTAAATGACTCTGGTTCTTTCTGGACTCTCCTGCACAAGTCTTTATGTCGCTTCACTCTAACACATTTCTTATTAACCAAACAGCTTGAAGAACTTATTGCAAAATGTCTCATCACTCTCACATGTTTCTGGAGAAAGCATTTGTGCAGAAACTTTTTTCCACACTCAGGGCAACTAAATGATTTGTTGACAGTCTTAATATCTGAATCAGAAGTCCTATTTTCATTCCACTGATTGTCTTCATCTTTGTTTTTTGTTTCAGCCCAAGAGTCCAACAGCCCAGAGTCTAGATTCACTTCATCATCATCATCCTCTTCACTTACTTCAGTCTCTGAAGAATCAGATGTTTGTTCATGAGGGTTCAGATCTGGGTTCCTGCTAGTTCCTGCTCCTCCACCAGTTTCTGCTGCCATCTGGTCAGCTGAGCTGCTGGTTGGAACATCTCGGTCTTCTATTTGCTGCTGATGAAGCTGTGAGACCAGAGGTTTCTCTTCATCATCCTCACTCTTTATAGAAAATGCAGTGACTGGAAACCTTGCTACATCAGTCTCCTCCTTCCAATGGAGATGCTCTCCCTCCAGACTGGTCCAGAGTTCCTTGTGTTCCTCCTTTATGTGGAGGCTTTCTGGGTCCTGCTGGTCCATAACAGTACTCTGATCTTCAGGAACTTCTTTTTTCACCAGCATCACCTGTTGAACATGTGTAGGAAACAGAGAAACACATGATGTGAACTGCAGATGACCCTAACTTTATATTCATACATGCAACAGTTATTGGCTACATGATCTGGGGAAAAGAGAACAATAACAATGACTTAATTTAGACAATAGCATGTTTTTATTTACTTTTATGGGTGAGTGGTGTTTTTAACTAGATGATGCACAGATGGAGAGACGCACACAGAGTGTCAGAAAGGTTTTTACATTTGAACTTCTGTTCAGGCAGTGGAGCTTTGCAAAACAATTCCCCTCTAGGACAACAGAGGGAGTAGCGCTTTTCGGTGGTATCCTGCCACCATAACACTCATGTCCACGATAGTGTATTTACTAATGTGTTTATATACTTCAGAGGCTGTATCACACGGACAAAAGTGTCTTTCAATCTCCTCCACTTCCTCATTTCATTTCATTTATTTTTAAAGCCCCTACTGCGACCAATGCAGACGCCCAAGGTGCTGAACACAACACAATCAAAACATAAAACCATCAGAATAAAATATTACAATCGTAAAACCAACATAAAATCAATTAAAAGAGGAGAGTAAAGGCAAAAAATAAAATCCTGAAAAAAATTAAGAGGCCGGGGCATCGAAACCAGGTAAAATTTGCTAATCCTGGAATGCCTCGACAAAAATGGGTCTTAAGGCGTCTTAAACACCCAATGAGGGTGACTGACGCACCACCAAAGGCAACTGGTTCCAAAGTGCAGGTGCCAACACAGAGAACGCATGCGGCTTCATGCGGTAGCCACCTCTAAACCAGCGTTTCCTGTCATTTCCGTCCAGGTTTGCCCCATATTTTATACTCCTTCAGTGCACGGGTGAATAAACTAGTGATGCATCGATGTGAATTTTTGGGCCGATACCAAAAGTCGATATTAATATCACTGCTATGATATTAATCACCATAGCTCTGCGGCACCAGAACAACAATAAGCTAGCTCTGCTAGCAGCTTCCGGTTTCTGCTTCTTCATGCGTCTGATCAATCAGGAAACCTGTGTAACGCTGGTCAGGACTGCACGCCAGCCTGCCTTTTACCAGCAGGTGGCATGGGGATCAGAATAAGGTTCGGCTCTAGAGTCGAAGTGTGTGAATAAAGATAACTGAACAGAACACAAATGGTCTTTGGTTCAAACAGTGTATTAAAGTTATTTACAGGTGAGAAGAAAAAAAGGACAGGATAACAATTTACAAAAATGCAACTCAGTTCAAGCCCTAAGAGATCACAAGGCTTTTTGTCCTTGTGATCTCAGGTTCATTTAGTCCTTTTCCAAGTGAGGTTCATTCTGAATGGTAGCTCGCCATCCGAGGTAAAACCAAGGAGAATCCAATGAGGATGAAAACTGAAGAAAAAGAAACAAAAATATCCACCAAAAAAACCTGACCGGAGAGTAGAGATACACAACCACAAACCTTCTGACAGCAGTTAAGCAGACTGAAGGGGTATCAGTTACCCAAAGCGCAAAGAGAATGCAGCACCAGTTTGTCTTACTTCCTGCTGATACGTGCTCTGCCCCTTTTCGGCCACAAGATGGCCTCAGTGGCTTCTGCCTCGTCTGTCTCTTGCGCAGCTGTGTGTAATCTAGCAATCACCGGTCAGCTGTTAAAGGCTGCTCTCCTGCCCACAGTCTGGGAGAAGGTCCAGGGTAGTGAAGGCTCGGAAGAATTTTTGCTGCTCTCTTCTCGCGTGTATTGGTTAGTCTCGGCTTTAGGTATTCACTTTGGTATTTGGTATTAGATTAGACTCTGGTAATCCCGACCTAGGAACGGCTAATTGACTTCGATTGTGGACTTTGCGATTTGGAATTAGGATTGGATTCGACTCTCTGGTAATCCCGATCTAGGAACGGCTAATTGACTTTGATTCTGGACTTTTCCCAGCGTCCCTCCTTAACAGGGTGTCCCTCCTTAGCTTGGAGTTAGCAGTAGTGATGGGTAGATGAAGCCTCATGAAGCGTTTCAGCACATTCCCCAAATAGTATTGATACTGTGTCGACACAGTGCTGCTGTTTTGCTCTATAATGACACCTACTGGACTTTAAATATCATTGCAGGCAACATACTGGAGACACAACAGACTCTGATTCAATGATCTAATCATACTTGTATACACTGTAAGCTATTGTGGGCCTACTTCATATGGTATTACTTT